TAACTACAAGTTTTTTACTGACAGAGGGATGAACAGTAATATACTAAAATATGATAATAAGAAATTTGTGTACACAAATGAATGAATCATATTTTTCTTGTTTAAAAGAATATTCACAATCTGTGTTGGAATAGCACAGTACAAAAAAATATACAATTTATACATATTTTAACTGTTAATAATATGAGATGTGTGAATTATTAATAGAATCTAACATGATAGGTACATTGAAGATTTATAAATCTTATATTTTCTCWTGAGTTGATGGGTGGTATTTTTGGGTTTGTATTGGATGAGATTTACGATACTAATGAGTAAAAATGGGAAGGTGATTTAGGGTAATAAGCTCTATGTTTAGTGGCTAATTGGTCAATTTATTTGATTTTAAGGCAAGAGAGTAGCATGAAGTTATACAGGGCGATCAACTGGAATGCTTGAATAGTGTGAATTAGGTACAACTTCAAATTTGGATTGCAGACGTCTATATGGTCTAATTTATATTAAAATTAAATAAAATACTATTTCATTTATATAAAAAATAAGATATTTTAATTTTCAATGTGTTAACAAAAAGTTTATTATAGTTTATTAAACTAAAATTGTTATTTAAATATTTAATTTAAAAAGAAATTTATTTTGTTCATTTTGCAAGACGAATCCCTGTTTTTTCAAATTATGACATTGCAATACTAAATGAGGCATATTTGTAATGTCCACCCAGCAATCTTCATCTTCATCATTACATTCCACTAATAACTATAAACATATTAATGAGTTATAAATATTTATTATTACTTATGATGATAAATAATATATATGGTACTATTAAGCATAAATATAAATTATGTTTAATTTTTTGAACACTTACACTTAATATTTCTTTCAATGTAGATGAAGGATCTACTTGTGATAACAATGTATACTAAAAATAAAAATAAATACTTTTAATCAGTCAAAAGTTTATATTACAGAGCAGAGCATGGTTGAAATATACAAGGTATATATATATATCCCTTCTCTACTAAATATTTGATGATAATAACAAAAATGACAGCGTAAAGGGAGCCAATCATAATCTAGTATATATGCACAGTAATTTTGAATTTGTTAAAATTATTATTTTTTTACGAAAACTATGTTATGAAAAAAA